CCCCCCCCCCCCCCCCCCCAATCCTTACCAACAGTTGAATTAGTTGTATTTGCATACTTAACTGTGATCCTCACTTCTAGCTATATGAGGGAAACATGTCCGTTTGGAACTGGTTGGGTGAAATTGTGGAATTTTTCACGATATTCCGGAATTTTGCTAGGTCTACTTCTAAAAATGATGTTATGGTAGAAGGTTGCAGGCAGAAAAAGTGTCTCCCTGCACCAGCAGTCGCCATACACTCAGGTCAGAATTTCTCTTTCCTGCCAGAAAGAGGGGAAACTGGTTTGTGCCTAAATTGTTCTCTGTGTGTTTAAAATATGCCCCCAAAGCACAGAATACCAAGGACCAACTTGGTTTGTTCAATCACCACAATTCACAACACCAGCAGATTTATCCATCAAACTGCTGACTGTTGTTACAGAATACTTTATTTACTTGCTGCAATTAAGTTTTCTAAAGTGATAAAGCAATTGATTTTGTTCATACTGAAAAATATATGTAACAAATTAATAACTTAATTCTTGTTTTGTTTTAGATTCATGCCTTACAGTCTGAGAAAGACTTGGAGAAAACAGATGCAATGAAACAAATTCGGAATTTGGAAGAAGCCTTTCGGTAAAGTTGGCCTTGTTTTGCTTTACACGTTGAATGGATTATAGCATCTTTTGACTTGGTTCAGCTTGTAGAGCATCTGACTTTCAAAGTTGGACAGTCAGGGTTTGAACCCAAAGTTGATGTTTGGACACGTAATCTAGATTTATATTTCAGTGTCGGACTGAATGTTGAACATATTAATGCAGCGTTTCTCAAACCTTTTCCTGTGATCCCATTATAATATTTAAGGTTTTGTGAACCCAGAGTGAAAATTTGGAGGTATCTGAGTTGTTGAACAGTGCATGTTGGAGGCTTCATTTGTTGAGCTTGTGGTGGTGGTGGGTGGCAGATGGGAGAGCGGTTGGGGTTCAAGCAGTCTTTGTCATAGAGTCATAAATATTGAAACAGGCTCTTCAGCTCACCATATCTATGCCTACCAACAAACACCAAAGTACACTAGTCCCAGTTACCTGCAATTGGTCCATAGCCTACTATTCCCTGGCATTTTAAGTGCTTTTCCAGATGTTTCTTAACTTTCTTTTCCAGATGTTGCTAAAGTCCCTGCTTCCACTATCCTCTCAGGCAGTGCAATCTGTATTTCCACCATCTTCTGGGGGGAAAGTAAACTTTTCCTCAAATCCTCATTAAAATACTTACTCCTCACCTTAAACTTATGTCCTCTGGTCTCGGACACATCTGCAATAGAGAAAAGATTCTCATGACATACCCTATCTAAGCCTCTCAATTTTTATACCTTAATCAGATCCCACCTTGGCCTCCTCTGCTCCAGGGAAAATAAACCTAGACTATCCAGTCTGTCCTCATAACTGAGACTTTCCATCCCAGGCAATATCCTGGTGAATCTGCTCTGCATCCTTTCTAATGCAATCGCATCATTCCAATAGTGTGGCAACCAGAACTGAACACAGTATTCCATTTGAGATAACAAGGTGTAGAGCTGGATGAACACAGCAGGCCAAGCAGCATCAGAGGAGCAGGAAAGCTGACGTTTCGGGTCTAGACCCTTCAGAAAATT